GTTCTCGTAGCTCAGTGGATAGAGCGCCCGCCCGGTGTTCGGGAGGTCATGGGTTCGATTCCTGTCGGGGACTCAGAATTTTTCTTTGTCCCACGCTCACGTCATGTTGATTAATTCACCTTCACAAAAGAAACCAGTTGTCATATTACACCCCTACCTCCCCATAATGACCACCTCTCTACAACAACGACTTTCCTCTGTCCCCAGGGTGGTCCTTATGGAGAGGTTCTATTGTAAGACTACGATCACTTACATCCTCTGTGTCCTTCACTCTTAAAATTTGATCCCTCAAGTCCTGGAGGTCATTGAAGGTGGACTGTGCTGTGATTGAGTAAACCAAAACAAAGCCTTGGCCATTTTTCATGTATAAATCACGCATTGCTGTAAACTGTTCCTGTAGATTGAAAAACAATAAAATATTTAGAGTTCATTAAGTACATCAAAGGGCAAACTAGGAACACAGAGCACCCCAGAGCACCAAATTAGTTTCCTGTTACCATTCAGGACCTTAAGTAAAATTAACCTGGGATAAGCAAGAATTTTTATTTCACTTTTGTAACTTTTTGGTGAGGTTTTCTGTTTATATTGTTTGTCCTTCAGTTTTGAACTTGAATAACCTCAAACTACACAAATATAAGCAGTGAAAAACACTTTTATACAAGAAAAATTATAATGTTTCGGTTAACTTGTAACCCTGGGTTAGCATTAACTGGTTTTCAAACAATCTGGTCCTGGAATGTCAGCATCCAACTCTAAATAAACTTTCATGACATAGAGGAAATACAGTTTCTCAGTTGCCTTACAGTTGTGCAATTTCAGAACATTCTAGGACAGGGTTACAATAATTATTATTTCAGAATTATATGTAATTATTATGTCATTCTGAACTAATTATTGCAACCTGTTCTAGAATGTTCTGACAATGCTGGTTTCACAATGCTTCTGCATGTTTAACATGCTGTTGCTAAGATACTGATAGTAATGAAGTACATTTTGGAGGAGTATGGGCACCAACTGTGCCTGAAATATTATACATGAACAATAATATTGATAAAATCTCTGCTTGAAAGTAGATATCAAACATTTTAGAAGGTGACAAACAGCTGGTTATGTTTGGAATTTCAAAATTGGCACATGACAAGCATTTTGATTGTAGCTTCAAATTTTATTTAAATCTCTTGATCAACAGAACATTATTTGAGTGCAGTGACGTTAAACCTGATAAGACCTTCAACCTGATAAGACCTTCCTACAGAGAGGTGTTGCCTAAAGCTTTGATTGAAAATTAAAACAAAAGAGATTCTATTTGAGATTGCTTTTAAATGGTATATGTTTTTATTTCTGGTTCCTAATATTACATGTTTCATTTTCAATTCCAATACAAATACGTGATATTTTTTAGGTAAAACAAACCACAACCTAGTAAATTTCACTGTGATGAGCCAATCATAACCTCAACTGTTCTCAACGTAAGGCTCAAGTTACTACGTGCCTAGACAAACAGTATATTTCAAAAAAAAAGAAAAAGAAAACAGAAATATATTTCAGTTGTTTATGCTCAAGGTTTACTGCCTGGGTTGGTTCCTTTTAACAAGCAGATTTTCCCACTTGCGACATCAAATCTGGAATAGTTTTTGTTTTGTTTTGGTGTGTGCATTCTGCAAATGACTGCCAGGACAGTGAGAATGGAGATTGAGAGACAACATGAAACAGAAAATGAAACAAATAATTGGGAGAAATATTATTTTAGCATCACTTTGATGTATCCAAATATATAAATATTTATTTTTCAGAAGACACTCAGAATTAGGTAATTAGACCACAGATCATGAATAATACAGAACAAAGATTAGTTTTCTAATTCTCAATTAGTTCCTATAATTACTTCACACGTAAATCTTCTCGTAAAAAAAAAACAACAACCATACGCTAATTAATGGCTATGGCCCAGAAGAAGAAAAATTATCAGCGGCTGGGTGAAATTTCTGACAGTGAATTAAATATTCAATTTTTTAAACCAAACCGAAAAGTAAATAAAATCGAGATTTGTCAAAGTCGAGCAACATTAATAGCCAACAATATTATACTACGATTAACAGAAAATTAGTCAATTCCAAAAAGTTGCTATTTGATTGCTTAACCCTGAAGAAGTGATAAATAGTAATAGGTGAAATAGAAAGTTGTAATAACTTTGGTATAGCGAGCTGTTCATTTGACAAGAAAATCTACATATAAAACATGAGCAGGAAAACCAGTTCGTGAAAATGATATAGGATTTTTCCCACCCAGTTTACCCAAAATAGTGGTGCAACTTACCGTTCCTGCTGTGTCCAATATCTCCAGCATACACTGCTGCCCGTCGACTTCTACTTGCTAAAGGAAATAAAAGATATAACGTCATGAGAAATTTGAAAGAATGTTCGAGTGAGCAAATAGGGCGCCGGTCTTGGAAGAAACTTCGACAGGTTAAACTCACTTTTCGATACGAATCTTCGATCGTTGGGTCATATTTCTCGACGAAAATTCCTTGCACAAACTGGACAGTCTGGATAAGAAAACAAGAAATAAATAAAGATGAGAAAACGATGAGATCGAAGCGAATGTTGTAGTTCAAAATATTGCTGCGTTCCTCTTTTTCCGACCGAGAGAAATCAATATACAAAATCATTTTTCGTTTCACCAACTTTTAAAGTGAAAGGAGCTAAATAACGCTATAATTACCAAAGCACTCTTGCCAACTCCTCCAGAACCAAGAACAACGAGCTTGTATTCACGCATCTTGGGTAAGAGACTTAACTTCGACACCTACGGCAACATGAACATGCATTAGACAAGACAACGCCATAGCGAAAGGTTGCAAGTCTACAACTGGCAACAGTTCGCATGCCATCGACATATCAACAGAAATCGCAACGAACAGAGAAAAGTACGACTGTTTAAGGACGTTATGTTACCTTTAAAACGCTGTAGTTGCGGTCGATTTTTCAGAAGAATACAATATACACAAGCTGGGACGCTCCTTCGCTACCTCGGAGCAATACAAACGGGTGTGTACGTCACTGCCGGACAAAAACTGTCTTATATAGCCTCGCTTTCAATCAGCTATTTTTGGCACTGACCGGGTAGTAGAACAAAGCACTTAGTCACCCTTGGACGGGCATGCGGTACTTGCAGTGGCTCTGACGTTCTCGGAACTCAGAGTAATTAAAGACATAGCTGAACAATATTTGATTACTTTTTTATATCCGATTCTTTAAAATGAATCATTTCATTTTTAAGAAGGAACTTTTCAACGCATCAAGCGAGACTTTGCGTCAAGCTAGCATTGTTCCTTTTCAAGTGGAGTTATTCAGTTTCCCAGCAACACTTGCAAACATGGAAGGAAAATGGCGTTCTTTCGAATATTCTTGTTTTGGTCTCTGGTCGGTTTACGGATTACCTGAAACCTTTCATGTGGGACCAAATTAGCCGCTCTTCTCTTTTCAAAAATAATTGTCCCTACAACTAATTGGCTACGATGGAACCAAACGAAAACAATCTATTTCGAGAGGTACAAGAGCCATCAACAAGCTGTGGTTCGGAGAAGAGGTCCTCTCGTTCTCGTGTCTGGGAAAAGGTTGTTTGGTTTACCAGAAAGGCAAAGGGAGCAAAAGACAGTAAAAATAGCTCTCCTGAAGTGCAAAAGAGCAATAATAATAATACTAGGACGAACTGTGGTGACTGTAAAACGCTTGGAGTAGGAAAATCCGATTGCAAGCAAAAAGTGCGAAAGACACGAAGTTTCAAGTATCTGAAACGACGAAAAGTAAGGCAATTTGGAGACGACTTGTGCTCAGTAGCAGTCGAAGAAGACGTTAACTTACAGGATTGCGGTACAGCAACAGGGACCTTTCATGATTTTAAGTCCGAACGACGAATATCCCGCCACGAAAGAACAACAAGCAACAACAGCCTGCTGAATGAGATCGCAAGAGGGATGAATTCGTCACAGCAAAAAGTCAAAGAAAATGTTAAAAGCGTGTTATCACTACCGTTAGATGACTTGTCATTAAACGAGGGTCCAATTTCTGACAGTTTATCTCCAAGCTTTCCTCGCGTGAGAAGGAGTGTAAGTTTCTCCGGGCCAGCTTACAACAGCTGGCCAAGGAAAAAGCGAACATATTTGAAAAGTTCAGTGGAACTCCTATCACCCCCTATGAAGCAGAAATGCGTGTCTGCGATAAGGAAAAGGGCATCGTTCAATGGATTTGACTCTTCAAAAATAAATGTAAAAAATTCTTATTTGTCACGGTTTAAAGGGGTTAAAAGCACCCCTCATTTACCACAAGGAGGCCAAATCAGGAATCAGAATGGTCTAACTATCGGTGCTATTCATTTCTACAAAAGTCCAGCTATTTTTCAAAAAGATGACACAGCTCTAAAACTTTTCCAAAGAAGGACACAGCCAAAACAAACAGATGGTGAGTCTGCAACAGGTGTCTACTGCTTAACTCATGGGTCGGTTGGGGAAAAGGATGGAGAACTATCTACCTTACTATCCAGAGAATCTGACAAGATTACCTGCGAAATTCCAGAAACAACTGAAAAACATGAGGCAAATGTTCATTCCAACTGTAGTTTCTCAAGTGAACACAACTTTGAAAGTAACTTGACTTGCAAGGAACAGATTGACAGTGCCAGTGTTAGTAGCAATTGTACGAATAACTGCATTTCTTTCCATGTCAAAAACAGCGACATGCAAAATGCTACCATCTCTGCTTTTCTGTTAGAGGGAGAATGTTCAAGTAGCTGTATAACAACCAGTCCAGTTGATTCTTCTGATGAGGATTTAGTCAAGGAGAAGCCATTACTCTCATCCAGTGCTCCTAAAGACATGACTTCAGTCCATTGTACAGAAGAAAATATTCTCACGAGAGATAGTAACATTACTTATACCATGCTGAAGTCAACGACAACTTGTGAGGATGGGCCCATAAGGAGAACCAGCAATGGATCTGTTGAAGCTATGGACATTCCAGAATGTTATGACAAAGTTCCTGACTTCCAGAGTAATGAAAGTGCAATACATCCATCAGATAGTTACCAGGAAAGCTCTCACTCTGCAAATGTTTCTGAAGTGGCATCAACTGATGACAAAATAAATGTGGCCATTTTTGGTACAACTCAGTGTAACATGCCAAGAACTGTGGCTCTTTCGTCATGCAGCTTACCATCAGTGGATGATTTAGAACTCAGTAAAGTTGATGTCACACCTTCAATTCTCAGTACNTGCATGTGAAAAATAGAAACAAATAAACAGTTATAGTTAACAGTTATAGTCAACACCAATTATTGTTTTCAGCAACAACAAAAATAGAACTCAAAACAAAAATATTTATTATGAACAGTACAGGTAGCAAGCTCACTAGGTGATCTGTGGTGGTCAAGATTTTTGGGGTTTTGAGTTACTTTGCAGAAAAAACCAAAACTGCTGCTCTTATTGGGATTAATAAGCCAGTATAAATCTGTGTAAGTTCCAATCCAACATTAAACTTAGCCATGTCAGCATGAAAGAAGCCCACGTATTTATTAGTTAAAAAAGAAAACATGTATCATGTTTCTATCGCATTATAGAAACACGAGTGGAAGTTTGGGAGAACGAGAAATCCTGTGGAACATGAGCCAATGGGTGAGGGTTTCTACAGCTTTTTTAAGATCTCCTGAACTTTTACAAGTGTTTCTGTAACTCGATAGAAACACAGGAAATTCCGCAACAAAAAGAAAAGAAAACTAGCCATATACTTTGATCATCAAAATGTAAATTCTCTTTGCTCATGCCATCATTTCGTCAACAGCTCATGCAAGTTCCAATTAGTTAACCAATTAGCATGTGCATTTTTTGGGGGCTGTTTTCTAATTCTTTTAGCCAATCTTTTCCAGAACACTTTGTATATGTTGAGTTGTTAAAGTGTTTGTTTCCATTGCAATTACAGGATGAATGTGAGTTACCCCAGATGCATATGCTGTCTGTTGCAATGGAACCCGTGCTTCACAAAAGCTGTCCGCCAAACTGCCAGGATATGTTAGCGTGGTTACCAAACCATGTTGCGTTACATGTTCTGTCCTTTCTTGATTCAGGTACGACATACAATGTTTATTCATAATTTCCACCATATAGGCAAGATACAAAGCTTGTTCCATTTATGATTCTGTTCCTTTCAGTGAGTTTGTGCCGCTGTAGTCAAGTCAATCAGACATGGAACAATCTAGCTAACAGTACTTCCTTGTGGCAGAATCTCTGCAGGTAGGTACTGTAAATTGGTGATACAAAAGTGCTTTTATTCATGGTGGTGTTATGCAAGGCAAGTTATGAGACTTGTTTAACTTATATTGACCCACACAACCCAAACTTATCTTGATTCTTGTCAAATGGTGATCTAGAGCTAATATTAAAACATTTGTCCAGGATGACACCTTTAGGGCAAGGTGTGGGTTGAATTACATTCTATAAAGAGGCAAATCTACTAGGTACCAGCTAAGCCAGTAACTTTTAAATCAAAACCTGGCCAAACCAAAGTTCATTTTCTCTTACAAATTACAAAGAGTTAGAAAATAAATAAAATAGTACTACAATAATAAATATAGAGACTGAAATAGGAATCTGCAGTGCCACATTACATGGAAAAGCTCTTCATCAATGTGGAACTGGACTTAAGAGGTGTTAGTTTTTGAAGAGGGATGAAAATCAGAGAACCTGGAGAGGAAGCCTCGGAGCAATATGAGAACCAACAATAAACACAACCCACTTATAACGCTGAGTCCAGGATTCAACCCAGGCCACTTTGGTGGAAGGCGAGCCCTCTATACACTGTGCCATCCCCGCTTCCCTGAGTAAACTACAAGATGGCATAAAACTTTCTAATGAGTAATTTTTTTCTTCTTGATGATCAGACGCCCTAACTGGCAATTGTCAAGAATTGGAGAGGAGAAGGAAAGAAAGAAGTACACTTTGGAAGATGGAACAGTGCAGGTGTGAAAGGAATTTTCATCAAATCCTCTGCGCCAGGTCATTCAAAGCCTGATTAAGCTAACCCAAGATTGTCAGTTTTGCAGTTTTTAATTTTTCAATGAAGTTTTCTGTTTATTTTGTGTGTCCTTCAGTTTTGAATTTGAATAGATTTCTCAAACTACACAAAACATAAGTTGTGAAAAACTTTTATGCAAGAAACCGGTTTTTGAACGATCTGGCCCAGATTAAGAATAGCTAAACAGTAGGGGTGACAAAAGGTGAGAATCTGAGACTCGGTAAAATCTGAGACTGCGACTTAAATGAGACAGAAACAAAAACATAAAAGTGTGACTTCATGACTTGTCACAAAGGATTATAAGATTTCAAAATCTGATTAAATGTATGCAAAACTCATGATTTTCTAGATAACATTTTGCAACCTTATATACTGTCTCTTCCGCATACCTTACAAATCTATTGTTTTAATAAGGGCTGGGCACCAGGCAAATTGACCAGCTGTGAGGATGACTTTGCCCACCTGGTGTGACCACATTGAGGAAAATTCTTCTTTTAAAGAAGTTCAGTTCAAATTTTTTTGCCCTGCTGTAAAACCCAGTTGACCTCCTACTGAAAATGCAAATCCTAATTGCCTTCATCTTTGTGTCAGTCTATAATGCTTCACAAGGTAAAAATTAGAATCATTACCATATGTTTAGCTTTTATTAGTTTGTGCAACTAGTGAAAATTGCACTGAAAATACCTATTACTTGGTGGTGTGCATGTATTGTATTACTTGTTGAGCAAACATATCATTATATTTTCAGTGGAAGAGGATGTTTGCATCAAGATTCCTTTTGCATCAGAACTGGTTGAAAGGAAAATGTGATGTGAGAACATTTGAAGGGCACACGCAAGGTAAATATTTTTTCAGAGTTTTAATTTAAAACTACTTCAGTCTCCTTAACATACAGTACTTCCCATCCTCAACTTGTGAGCATCATAGGAGTGAAAGACTCTTTGGAAAGTTGGACTGTATCATTTAAGAAATAGAAAACATGTACCATGTTTCTATCGAGTTATAGAAACGCAAGTGGAAGTTTGGGAGAACGAGAAATGCTGTGGGAACACGTGCCACAGGCAAGTGTTTCAACAGCTTTTTCAAGTTCTCCCAAACTTTCACGAGTGTTTCTATAACTCGATAGAAACATGGAGAACATGTTTTCTATTTCTTTTAGAAAACACCACGACGAAAAAAGGAAAACAACTTGTTTACTTTGTTCATCAAAATGTTAATTCTCTGTGCACGTGCCATCATTACATCAACAGCTCGTGCTAGTTCTGTGTTTCCACTGAGTTATAGAAACACGATTTTTAACCAATCAGTGCGCGTATTTTCCTAGGACTGTTTTCTAAAAGTCAATGGTTGATGGTCAGCAGCTCTGTCAGTAAGCTGTCAGGCAAATGACTGGGCCTACTGTACTTAAATTTTGGGGCTCCTGACACTAAAACAGAGAAAAGTCTTCCCCCCTCCCCCACCTAACTCTTCCTTTTCATGTGTTTAAATGATAACAAACGTTATTCTTCAGGTATCTCATGTGTTCAGTTTGATGATACAAGGATTGCGAGTGGTTCATATGACAAGACTATACGAGTGTGGGATATTAGGAGTGGGGACTGTGATGCCGTGCTGACTCTAGCTGGCCACTCTGGTACAGTGCGATGTCTCAATCTGAACGGCAATCGACTGGTTAGTGGTTCTGTGGATCGATCAATAAAGGTATGTGTAGTATTTGAGTGTCATGTTAAAACAATGGTTTCCTCTAAGTAAGGACACAAAATTCGACTTCAGTAAAATTAAATAAAGTAATAATATTTTGTTATTATAATAAGCTCAAACTAAAATTTAAAGATTAAAATTTCCTCCCCCTCCAAAATTTTTTAACAGAAGTGACAACTATATTCATTGGTAAAAAATGATAACTATTTACAGTGCTAAAAAAGGCACAAAATTAAAAAAATAAAAACAGTTCTTGTTTTGGTTGCACTTTCCTTCCTCCTGACTTGCATTTGACCTTTTTACTTCCAGGGTCCATCCTCTATTATCTAATTAATCTGATAACCTGTCACTTCGTTTTTCATTCTTTTCCCACCCAATTTTCTATTATAATTTATTAATAAAAACAGTTGTAATAAGATCTTCATAGACTGGCCCACCTAGACTAGCACTAGCTATTTGCAGGCCAGTATAACTGTAATAAGTAATGTAAATTGGAAAAAAGATAAAGATTGAGTGATTGAGTCTATGTCAGTACATGTCGTTTTAATTACGGAGTTGTTTTTCAGGTGTGGGACTTATCATTTGAGTCGTATTGGAGTGGCGCTTCATGTAAGGTCACCATGGTGGGCCATATGCACACAGTACGCTGTCTCCAGGTAAACTATGGTCTAGTTCAATATTATCTAATGCAGCAGTTCTTTAGTTTTAGCAAAGGAAGACATTGGTATAAATAACAATATTTATACCTCATTATTTTGTACTTTAAGGTTGATGACAAGAAGGTAGTTAGTGGATCTTATGATAAAACCCTCAAAGTCTGGGACATCAAAACTGGGAATTGTCAGCTAACTCTCAGGTATTCCAGAAATTTTTAGTAACCTTCAATAATGATATTATGTATTATTGAAATTTTACAATTATATTTCGATATCTGTTTTCAAATGTTTCACCTTCCTATTCACCACTTATAGTATTGTGCATAGAGTTTATTTATGTATACAGAAGTTTGTGTAGTGTTAAGGTCTGGGTGAGGGTAGTTCTGACCAAAAATGTTGTTGCTGACTGAAGTTTTGACAACCTGAGTCATCTTCAGAGTCAAGTAGACAGTGTTTGTCAGTCAATGGTGTTGCAAGTTGTTCAGATCAAAAAGATGTTAATATGTACAGTTCCAGGAAATATCCATACCCATCCCAGTGAAGGTGAATGGAAATTCCAAGGGGGAGGTGGGTTTTAAAAACCCAAATTTTTAATAGAAAGTATGTTGATAAGCCATAATTTCCAGAGGGGTTGGGGGGGAGTTCAAATTTAAAAACCTTCTATGGGAGGGGTATGGATATTTTCCAAAACAACACAATATATTAAATTTGTCAATTATCATAATTATTTAGGGGCCATAATGCTGCTGTCCTGTGTGTTCAGTTTGATGATAGAAAAATTGTCTCTGGGTCATATGACAAGACTATTAAGGTAACCAGATAACATGACACTAAATGATAGTGAATAAGAAAGTTGGTTGCAAGCTATTTGTACAAGATTACTGACAAGTCTTAATGTACATTCATTCCTCAGCTCAAGAGATTTGTGATGTTGTATGGGAAAAATTCCATTTTGGCAATAACTACAGAAATTCCGGCACACTCACTGGCTAATTTTCATTGTCATTAAGGGAACAGAAACACAAATTTATAATTTTGTCCCTTCTGCCTTTTCGTTGCGTGTTGTATTTTCAACTTTCTTCTCGGTGTTTGGAAATGTTTGGAAATGTGGTCAAACACGGTCTTTCATGTTTGATATATTACATGAAAAACTGAGATCAATTTGCTAAATTGATGACAAAGCTTTTGAACAAGCTTTTGTTTATTTTTTACTCAATATGACATTGTGGTATTCTGTAAAACAGGTGTGGAGTCTGACAGAGGGATCATGTTTGATGACACTGACAGGCCATCATGACGCTGTCACCTGTTTGAATTTAACATTTGATAGCAGAAAAGTCATTAGTGGCTCTCTGGATCATAATCTGAAATTCTGGGATCTGTTAAATGGAAAGGTAAGTACAGACTAACATGCTGCTTATTTGTTTTGAAACTAGCTCTCTACTGCAATGAGCTTCACCTTGGGGAACATTGAGGGTTGAAGGGAAACAAAACTTGTTGTTTCTCCCAGGGCCACTCATTAAGTGTTTTGCTATACCTTCAAATTCAAAAATAAAACAATCTGTTAGAAAAAAGAGTTGCTTGACACTGGCTGGTGCACAGAGTATCTGCGGTTTCAAGGTGCACAACCTGATCACTTGCGAGCTGAAAGTTCAAGTTGTTGTTTTCCTAAAAACTTTGTGATTTTTCACACGTTTGAGTTGGGAGGTATTGATCTCTCTTGACTAAGTGCAACTTGTGATTTGTTCTAGTGCATTGGTACATTAGATTGGATCAGATCTGAGGGTCATACTGGTGTCATCAGGTAAGTAAATACCATGTGTTTAGCTTGTTCTTGTTTCTCATGTTATTTGCGATATTGTTCTGAATAAAGAAAAAAATATGCACCAAAATAAAATGCAAGTATGTTTGTGTTCACTTGTCAGATGTCTTCAGACAGACAGCTGGAGGATAGTGAGTGCTGGAGATGACAAGACACTCAAGGTAAGATTACTGGGGTGTTAAGTTAGGCTGATTGTAGGTGTAGTGCAAATGACTTGACAACACAATTCAGATAAAGTTCTCCAAGTTGTATTGAACACAACAGAACAAGTGCACAACATGAATGACTATCTCCAATGTGACCTACCCTCCTAAGCACGTAGGCTTAAGAAATAATTTATGCAAGGTCTCAAGACCTATCATTACATGGGGGTCATCAGTGAGGTTGTTTAATTCTCACACCACAAGCATTTCATTTCTAGCTTTTGCCTCTTACTTAGAGTTTCCTACCTCTTAATGCTTTGTCTATTGTAAAATGTATGAAATGTTGAAAAAATCTCCAATGCCTTGGTGTAAGAAAAATTAAGAGAGCACAAAGGTTCCTCACCATGAAATCCTGGATGCCCACGGTGTTTTTTCTTTTTTTTTCGGCCACGTACAAAATATCCTTTAAATGGAAGGAAACCTGAAAATAATAGTTTACTAAGATAGAAAAACACAAAGAGATAACAATAAACCATAAAGGAACAAGGATGGTTGAGGATGGCGAAAATTGACACGGATTGCAAACAACGAATTTGAAAAATTTAGGCTAAACTTTTCAAAATGTGCAAACCGTGACTGAGCTCCTTTAAGCTTATATGAAAGAAACTACTAAGTTTTTCTAGTTGCCAAAAGGAAAAAGTTAGTTACCTGCAGCACCTGAACGCTTCTAGATCCCAGTCCTGATCTCCCTTCTTTCCATCCTTCAACATCTTAAAAATCTTACTCTCTGCCCTTTCCCCTAGAGTTTCAACCCCATTATTTACTGGTGCCCCCCTCCCCCCATCTGTGTGCAGAACAAAGTCTTCAAGACTAATTTAAGTAAGCTTTACTTTCAATGCCTCAGACTGTCATTATTGGTTAGATTTATTGGTTGTAAGATTTACTGCGTATCGTTAGCAAGAACCAGTCCTAGAAGTAGTAATAGTAAAAAGTAAATGATCCTTGTCAAAGTTTGATTTTTTTCATGAAGTCCGTAATTGGACTTGACAGGACTTTCAAAGACAAATTCTCCCATCCCCCCTAAAAAAAATTATTAGAACTCTGCTGCTTTCATGGGCTGAATACCCATAATAAATTTCCCAAAGTATGAATAATTTAAGAGTGATCCTAATCCCTAATTTTTTTTTGTTATTTTGCTATTAATTTGAAACAGATGTGGAGCTTGGAAAGTGGGCAGCGTTTGCTGACTCTACGCTGTCACACAGATGGCGTGACGTGTCTACAGTTTAATGACTACAGCATAGTCTCAGGGTCATATGACAAAACTGTGAAGTTGTGGGACTTCAGTCCGTCACATGAATTTTTGACTCCTGGCTAAGCTAAGCTATCAACAGGGTGGCAAGCGGAGTCATTCATGACTGCTAGCAGTCGNCACGACTACGTAGGAAATAGGATATGGGGGATGGGGTGCATCTACTGCCCTGCCCTCCACCCCCTGAGTATTTTTTTTAAAATTCCATTCAAGATTGTGGATCCATGATCTTATCTTGAGTTCTTTACTTGTGGGTTCCAAATTGATGATTTTGAAAAAAATGTATTCAATAGTGAAATCACAGTTACATATTAACAAAGGATAATTAGACCTCATTATGCTGATTTGAAATCTATGTGCACTTGATTTCATTCGACAAAGGTATGATTTGCAATTCGTACTCTGCATTAGAATATCTTTTAAGTTCATATTTGGTTATTGATCCATTCTGCGCCTCTGCACCCTTAAAGCTGTTTGCGTATCTCTCAAGCTTCCGTACGCCAGCTACATAGTGTAAACGAGCTTAAGGCTAATTGATCTGAGTAACAAAACCTAATAACGTTCCTCTATGGCTTTTTGTGTGTTTTCTGTTGTTCAATCATTTAAAACCATTATTTAGAATTACCAAAAAGAGTATGACCAGGTGATGATCAGCCCTTTCTAATTAAAATACTTACTCTGATCTTTGCACTGGTTAATTACGTAACTGAAAATGTCTTGTCTTTTGTGACATACGTATCATAAATGATTAAAGTTCTAGTTTAAGTTGCAGACTAATCCTGTTATAGGGACACCCACTTCCGTATCATCATACAGATACCTTGTCATGCTGTCTGGGGTTTCAGGGCCAGGTACCAGGCGAAGACTGTGAGGTCGATTTTGCCTGCCTGGTTTGACCATATAGCGAAACGTTTTTCTTAATAAGAAGTAAAGTTTAAAAAGTGTTGTCTATAGCTACTTGCAAAAACCAATTGTCTTCCTACTTATTGAAACCCCTGAATCTATTTATAGACCATGCTATGCTTTCTCTTTAGCATGTATATTTTCTGTAGTGTTCATATCAACTGTCTGTAATTGTTATTTACCATGCTGGGTTGCAGCGTAGTTAGACTGCAGTAATTATTGTGACGTCTGTCGAAACAGGGTCTGATTGACTCCAGAACAAGAGCCAAGCGAAGAAATGGGCTTCATAGTTGAATCTTGGGTTAGGTTACCATGATTGATTGTTGGTTCTATTTTTTATGGTAATTCGACAACGTTACAACACACACACAAATGCATGAATTGCATATGTGATAGAATACTCTTATCTAGCAGTGTCTCCTTGTGATTGCTGATTCCTGCTACTTATCCCTTTCCCAAGATTATTCAAGGTTTATTTTAAACATGTTGAGATTCCAACCCATAAGATGGAAAATATGGAATAATGTTTAGACTATTTAGGGCCACAGTTGATATCCCTCGGCTTCTAGGGGTGTCTGGGAGGATGCCTTACGTCCCCTAGAAATTTGCCAACTCGGGTACCCTCAAGTACCATTTCCTGCATTTTAGCTGGACATATGGCAAAAAATTCCACCAAGTATTAGCAACTTTTATTCCTAGTTTTCATACTTTTATAATAAATCGGCAAGACATCAAATCGGAGGCAGGACATCAAACAGGGACACATTAGATCAAGTCGGTAGACTCCCGATTAAATCGGGATGGTTGGAATGTCTGAACGTTGCATGGATTTCAAATTCAATCATTTCGTTCCTTGCCTCAATGCTCTACCTAATTATGTTGAGATTTTTGCCATCTTTATCTTTACCTTACCTTGCCAGTCAAAGGGTAAAAACTGTAGGGTAAGATGCAGGACAGATTCTCTTGTTTGTGACATAAAGCCTGGTCAAAATATCAAAAACTCGGTGTGATTCAGGCTTCCCTCGAAATATTTGGGTTCAATTCATAAAGCAAGAGCTGGGAATGAGGGTATAAAGCTGATGCTTCTTCCCATCTTTCCCCTCGCATCCTCTTTTACGTCATTTTGTTTTTTTTTCTTTTTGCGCGTGCGGGTGATTAGGGACAAACTTTGTTGAAAAA